CAGGAAACTCAGGGCTCATTGAATCAGGGCTTTTAGATCATACAGAGGACAGCTATTGACAGCGCAACATCGTCGTCTGCGATTGAGATGGGTCGGGACTGTACGACGTTGGCAACGACGTGACTGGCAGAGGGTTTTCTTCACTGACGAAAGTCAATTCTGTATGTTTAGGGCAGATGGAAGACAACGTGTTTACCGCCGATGGGATGAACGAACGGCGGCGTGTTGCGTGCAGGGGGTCGTACCATATGGTGGAGGGAGTGTCATGGTGTGGGGAGGGATCTGTGGGCAGGAGAGGACACCGCTGGTCATAGTTGACGGAAACTTGACAGCTCAGCGTTACATGGATAACATTTTTCGTCCAGTTGTCCTACCATTTCTCCAACAGCAGCCACGTGGTGTCATTTATCAGCATGAAAACGCTGGAGCCCATGCAACCAGAATTGTCACTTACTTCCTCGCAGCCAACAACGTCAACGTCCTGCCGTGGCCTGCACGCTCACCCGACATGTTCCCCACAGAACACCTCTGAGACTTGATGGATCGTCGTGTTCGACAACGACCACACCCTCCAGCCAACCGTCAAGAACTGATCTTGGCCCTCCAAGAAGAATGGCGTCAAATCCCACGTGACCTCATCAGACGACTTTTTCTGTGCATCGAAGAGTTATTGCGTGTATGTAGGCATTTGGTGGTCACACACGCTACTAATGACTTGTTATTGAACGTGAGCGATTGTTTATGTACTCTGCCTATTGTCCATGATTCTGAAAGCTCGAGTTTTGTACCATACCCAACTTTGGGGGGCTCTGACGTCATTCTCGGTCGCGGTATGATTGTCATGTTCAGTGTTGATTATGTTGATATATTGATCTTCTCAATACACTTTACTTCAAGCATGTATATTTTGTTGTTTTCGAACAAGAGTGATGTCAAACTCTGGTAAAGGTTCTTTTGGACGTCAGTTTTACTCGGACAATCTGTGCAGGGCGATTACAAATAAGTCAAACATTCAATGTTCTTCCGGTTGTTTGTGACACATAGCCAGTTGACATTCCGAGTGTATCTGATGTCAGAGTTTGTACTTCCTCCTTTCCTGACATTGTATTGACTGCTTTGTCAACAACCCCTCTCATTCCCCTTTTAGAATCCCAGAAAGCATGGTAACGTTTGTCCAATGGTGGTGCAATGTTCTACGTTAAAGTTGAGTCAATTTAGGCTTATACATTCGGCCTACCCAAATGTGCTGATCGGCACGTCGGCCCAGTGTAACGTCCCAAACCAATGTGATGCCAATGTCCAATTTTGTATAATATATTTTTTATTTTGAAGGTTGCACGATATACGGCTTTTCCATCGGACGAGAGGTCGGTCACATGATCGCGAAATTGACATTCATAAGAGTATGAACGACACAATTTGACGTTAATACATTCTTCACAAGATCGTGTTCTTGAAATGACGTAAACACTGATGGACTACTTCCACATTTTTCGAGGAAGCCCTGGGAATTCCACAACATGAATAAATACAGAAGCGTTATTACTGATCATTTAGAACCTTTAATCTTGGACTCAGTCTTTTAGCATACATTGACAAAAAGTCAGAGACTGAATCACTCAAAACTGAAGCCTGTGATGTGCTAGTTCTTGTACATGATGTAAACGTCTGTCTTAAATGAGACACGACAGTTAGACAGTACCAGCAGACATCCTTAATAACATGAAGGTAAATCATTAAAACCTGAAACTTGTGGTGTGCTAGTTCTAGAAAGTGGCAGCCCTGAATTGTAGCACCTCCTACAGTTTATATAGAATGAGCACACGCCTTGACAACACATACACATTTCATGGAATACATTGCTGACAAGGCTTGAATAAAGGCCTATCGAGAAAGTTCTATACAAGCAAAATACACATATTCAGTTGTGTCAATATGCGAGTCTTACTTCTGTCTACCCGCTACGAGCACATGTTCGGCCCCCTGTGACAATGACATTCTCAACCAAGCACACTGCACCCCCCAACAAATGCTTACAGCCACCTGGAGAGTAACATTAAAAACAAGCTTCAATGCAGTCGCTTATGAAAACAAGAATCTTTTCAAGTCAACACAAAAGCTCCGTGATAACATAACGCAAATACAATAACCAGACAGCGTGTGTACACCGAAGTGAAGTCACATGATCACGTGTACAGTGTTACGTACAGTCAGATCACTTGATCAAGTGTACAGTGTTACGCACAGTCAGATCACTTGATCAAGTGTACAGTGTTACGCACAGTCAGATCACTTGATCAAGTGTACAGTGTTACGTACAGTCAGGTCACTTGATCACGTGTACAGTGTTACGTACAGTCAGATCACTTGATCACGTGTGCAGTGTTACGTACAGTCAGGTCACTTGATCACGTGTACAGTATTACGTATAGTCAGGTCACTTGATCACGTGTATAGTGTTACTTACAGTCAGATCACTTGATCACGTGTGCAGTGTTACGTACATTTAGATCACTTGATCAAGCGTACAGTGTTACGTACAGTCAGATCACTTGATCACGTGTACAGTGTTATGTACAGTCAGGTCACTTGATCAAGTGTACAGTGTTATGTACAGTCAGATCACTTGATCAAGTGTACAGTGTTACGTACATTCAGATCACTTGATCAAGTGTACAGTGTTATGTACAGTCAGATCACTTGATCAAGTGTACAGTGTTACGTACAGTCAGATCACATGATTAAGTGTACAGTTTTACATACAGTCAGAACACTTGATCAAGTGTACAGTGTTACGTACAGTCAGGTCACTTGATCACGTGTACAGTGTTATGTACAGTCAGATCATTTGATCACGTGTACAGTGTTACGTAGAGTCAGATCACTCAATCAAGTGTACAGTGTTACGTACAGTCAGGTCACTTGATCACGTGTACACTGTTATGTACAGTCAGATGACTTGATCACGTGTACAGTGTTACGTACAGTCAGATCACTTGATCAAGTGTACAGTGTTATGTACAGTCAGATCACTTGATCAAGTGTACAGTGTTACGTACAGTCAGATCACTTGATCACGTGTACAGTGTTACGTACAATCAGATCACTTGATCATGTGTACAGTGTTACGCACAGTCAGATCACTTGATCACGTGTACAGTGTTACGTACAGTCAGATCACTTGATCAAGTGTGCAGTGTTACGTACAGTCAGATCACTTGATCAAGTGTGCAGTGTTACGTACAGTCAGATCACTTGATCACGCGTACAGTGTTACGTACAGTCAGATCACTTGATCAAGTGTACAGTGTTACATACAGTCAGATCAATTGATCAAGTGTACAGTGTTACGTAGAAGTCAGATCACTTGATCAAGTGTACAGTGTTATGTACAGTCAGGTCACTTAATCATGTGTACAGTGTTACGTACAGTCAGATCACTTGATCAAGTGTACAGTTTTACGTACAGACAGGTGTTTGTGACAAAGGGTTGTCACCTAGCCCAGTGGATAAGGTTGCGCTCTTCATATGTTGACATCACACAAAACCTTGGACGCTCTTTACATTCTGAGTTTACTGATGTTTCTACTGATGTTTCTGTGCCAATCTGCTTATAACGGGATGGTTGTAACCGAGATATTCCTGCAGTAATCATGCCTATTACTTGCCACATAACGCTATTAGATACACTAGCCGTGTAGAAGAAGACGTGAGACGGTTTAGAAATATTATATAATATCCTTTTTGAGCAAGGACTGACAGTGAATTTTTTTCCGCGAGTACCTTGAGACCCTACATCTACCAAACCGTAACGTCTTGTCACTTAACGCAAAGGAGCCTTGTAACCTGAGTGTACAGTTTTGTACAGAGGATACTCATGAGTTCAATACAGGGAGGGGTCCATGGAACACTGCATTGCAAGTTGATTGCCATGAATTCTTGAAGAAGATGCTATTCGTAATAGGGAGGTAAGGGCGAGGTGTTCTTTGGGTGAAGAGCAATCAAACTTTGCACACTTATACATTGATCTATACCCAGCATTTCAGGACATGGATCCAGCTCTGCTGCTCCCTCTGGTGCTACACAACTCAAGATGGCCGAAACATCTCACATGGTTTCATTCTGTACTTAATGCATTACAGTTATGTGGTAAGTTTTAATAATTCTTCAAAATTAATTGCACATAATGATGCATATGTTGGATATCATTCTTATTTAGTATGTAGTGCCCCCTATAGTTGAAGAAATAAGCTGCTGAAAAAACTAAACCTTCAGAAAATCAGTGTCATGTGAATTCATTTCAATTTAGTTTCAAACAATTCTAAGTACTGTTTTACAGAATGTTTTTACAATAATTATATTTACCTGTAACATAATAAGAATTAAGTTTTGTTCTTTGAGGTTTTTATTACAATTTATTGATCTTATGACCAGTCAATGAATATAGTGGTGTCAACATTCTACAAATCCCCACGAACCCTATGATATAGTGTTGCCTTCCGGACAATTGAACGAATCACGAAACAGATGTTCACACAGAAATGTTGAATGTTTTGAACTTTGCCATTTGACGCTATTCAAATAATATTCCTTTCAGCCCATACAGTACACAATCATTATCATTGCCTACAGTAGTATAAAAAACGTGTATTTCCGGATGCCAGTCTTTTGATATTATAAACAAAGATATTCGAGATATTTTTAACTCGTTAATTATGATGATCTATATCTATCTCACTATCTATGTCCATCTTATAATCTATGTTCATCTTATCATGTAGGGTCCATCTCACCATGTCTGTCCATCTCACCATCTCGGTAAAACTCTGCCTACTTTATCAACTAAATGGTCAAACATACAAACAACAGTACTACCTGGTCTACTGCATTCCTGTGTGACAGATACCCACCTTGTATACAGCTGCACAATTCAGTCATAGCCACGCCCACCTCGCGTCATAGTTAAGTGGAGACGAGATAGACCGTCGTGTAGTTGCTCACTGCGCTGTCGTGTGTCACTGTGTTGGGTGCGGTAAGTCATTTCAAATCATTTACGTTGGTAGTTTCTGAACAAAGCACAAAATGGAGAAATATTTTCGCAATTTTACACAAGCTTAAAACTTAAGCTAAGAAATGACACGCCTACGTTAATTAATGCTTTTGGCGGAAGTTTCTGATGAATATGGAAAGGGCCTTGTCGCTTTTAGTTACTGTAATGCAATGTCAGTTAGTACATATAGATGTTAAATGTGATTGTCTACACATAGTGTGACTCAGTGATTGTTGTACCCTTTGACACACGCTTATCCACGGTGAGAGAGGCATCGTGCAGCTAAAAGCGTTATGAGGCATAGCATATAAGTGTTCGACACTCAGGGCACACTCGTCACGATATGGCTGAAATACTGCCGATGTGACCTTAACTTTCAACTCACGCATTCACTCAGGGCACTGTGGTATGCATGAGTGCATATATTGAATTCAGTCATTTTCATCAAGAATTCATGACACATGTTTCCAAGTATTCACGTGTCAAATACTTGAATGACTTGTCTACTTTCTATCTGAGTCATTTACACAAAACAAAAACTAATAAATTATTAGTAAAATAACAATAATTGGGTGAAATTTATAATGATATTGATTTTGCAGGATCTTTTGAGGGGATAAGCAGCCATGCTCGGATCGTTGCTTGTCACATTTTGTGAGTACCTAATCACACGTGACACAGCTACATAGTTACTGTTTTTATACTTTGAGTTAACTTTAGTTAAGTATGAAAACTTCTGATCTGAGAACGTGGTGGCTAAATGGAGAAGGTGGGGACAGACTGACAAATTCATCCGTCATACATCGGTAAAACCTAACCCTAACCCTAACCATATCTGGTGTCTTGGTTCACCGCCTCTCAGTCTACACTTACATCATTAGTTCAGCAGTTTTGCGAACAGCTCACACAAGCCTGTTACTTGTGTGGTAATACACCGAGTTCAGGTAAAGGACGTCACAGAGATCTGTTGTTGCCGTTGTTGAATTGGCCTATTCTTGAAAGGGGAATACAAACATATGAATAGGTGTTGAGGTAAAGTCATTGTCACCGACACTCTCAGTGTCAAATCGTGAGTATAGGATTCCAGTGATCATAAATAACGACTGTGTGTTCACGGTAGGGAATTCTCAGGGGTTATCACTGGAGACAGGAAGCTGACGTCATTGTCCATGTCAGGTCCTATTATGCAGTCTCGAGAGATCGTCACAAAGTGTGCATCATTCGCTAAGGTGACGCCTCGGCTTCGGGTAGAATAGCTGTATATCATGTCACGTTCAGGCTTGGGCAACAGTTAGGTGGTATTTGTTACGCGTCGAATTCCAAATTGAAACAATATGTGATCCAAGAAATCTGTACATAAAAGAACCTAGTGTGAAACCAACAAACAAGCAGCAAGTGAAATACAATCAACACTTGTATTACAAAATAAACTAGGTTTACAAATCAACACGATTTACTGCACATAAATTACAATGGCAGGACACAATAGAGAAGTAGTACAATAGTCAGTTGCAATATATACTATGACGGCCATTTACTGTAATTATGCTGTATATGTGCTTATAACGAACTACGGTTATTACGAACTAAATTTTAGCGGTCCTTTTTAGTTCGTTATAACCGTAGTTTTGTGTACAAAAATAATATGATAATATAATAGTTCACCCAGTGGCGACAGTGGCCAAGCTTCCGAGATGGGGTATGCAGTGAATCAGGGATATTGAGCCATCCTCACATGAATGCTGATTCCGAAGCGATGAAGTAGCATGAGGGACACATACACACGCTACAACCTCGCAAGCTGCTGGAAATACCCATACCGTGCCCTCACCATATTTAACATTACAGAAATTTCGGTAACCTACTATCACCGTCCGCGGAATGCCGAACCTGAAGCTTCAACACCATACTAGCATCCGAATATAGTAACTTCCTGTGTCCAAACAAAATCCAACAAGCGTCCACCGAATCTCGTCCAAAATAAATGTAACAAAGTTACAATCATTGTCAAACAACAAAATACACTGCCATATAACATATAACATATCAATGTCATTCAGATGCTTATCATTTTTTTTTATAAGGGGGCGGTCGGGTAGCCTAGTGGTTAAAGCGTTCGCTCGTTGCGCTGAAGACCCGGGTTCGATTCCCGACATGGGTACAATGTGTGAAGCCTATTTCTGGTGTCCCCCCGCCGTGATATTGCTGGAATATTGCTAAAAGCGGCGTAAAAGCAAACTCACTCACTTTTTTTTAATATTATGTTTTCATATTATGTGGACCCGTGAAGATCCGAGGGAGAATAGGTCTTCAGCAACCAATGCTTGCGACTATACTTATCGCAAGTGGCGACTAACGGGATCGGTCGGTCAGGTTCGCTGACTTGGTTGATGTCATCGATCCCAATTGCGTGGATTGATGCTCATGACGTAAATCATTGGATAGTCTGGTCCAGAATCGACTAATTACTGACCGCCGTCATATAGCTGGAATATTGCTGAGTGCGGCGTTAAACAACAAACAAACAAAATCATATTATGTCTGTGCTGGATCTCCTCTAGCACGTGCATGTGGTGACCTTTATGTATACAATGTAGCCTTACTTTCGGCATTCAGCAGATGTGTAATATTATATTTGTATTTTTCAGTTGCTGCAGTACATGTTGCCCTAGTATGTGACTTCGGCAAGTATGGAGAAAACTGCGACCGACCCTGTTCTGAAGAGTGTGGCCTCTTCCCAGAGAGAAACCTTCGACCTTGTAACAAAGATACTGGAGCGTGTTTACAAGGGTGTGTTCGTGGTCGTCATGGTGACCAATGTGATCAACTTTGTAGCCACAACTGCATCAACACCACGTGCAATCAAGGCAACGGGGGTTGCACGATCGGATGTATAGAAGGATACATTGGATATTTCTGTAACACAACAGGTACACCGATACAGTTCCATACACAGACTTTAGCATATATAGTTGTATTGAAGTTGCCTCGGAAGTGCTAACATCAGAATAAACATACGCAGTCACATTTTATCACTATAGCTACACATTTGAGAGGAATAGTGAAAATGACTGCAATATATTACAAGTTCCCAGTTGAATCTACATGTAGACAGCACCTTCGCGTGCCTTCGTTTACCACTTCGGTGAAACCAACGAGCACGGGTATGGTGCTGACAAACCTAGAAACATAATCGGGGCGAACCGGGATTCGAACCCACAATCATGGGTTTCTTGCGTGCCCAAGGGATGCAACTCTGTACAGCGAATCGCGGCGCCTTAGACGACTAGGCCCCCGTGCCCCCCGATGGTTTTAGAGTTCTTTACATGTTCTTTGGTCTTGCCAGGTTTGCATTATCATCATTACCTCGACAATCCACAGACATGGCGGAAGTTTTTATTGTGGAGGGTCACACTAGGTATGGGTAGTAAACAGTAAGCCAGATGACGTCACAAATGGCCGTTATATTATGTGTTCATGCGCCACTGTCATCATGAAATATACAAAATGTGAATTGATTCGATGCTAAAATTGTGTGATACCACTAATCTTACAACTCCTTGTTTCAAAACGTATCTAACTCTTTTTCGTTTTGTAAGAGAAATGACATCTAGCAGACATTCGTCTAGTAACATCTTTTGGTAACTTCTCCACTGTTGACTCGCCTAGTTTTCTCTTTGTATCATATTTTAGGCAGCAATGTCTTCTTTTTGTGTTTGTGTTTGTAATAAATAGCTCGTATGTCATATGCCTGGCAAGTTGTTGTAGAATTACATACCCGTATGTTCTTTGAGGATTCATTCTCTGTATTAATTTATCTTCTTTGTTCATGAACATTGTGTGAGTGAGTGAAACTACCGGGAGAGCAAGGTATGCTTCCACTGTTCGTGAAAACTTCTTTTCATCACCATTGTCAGTGACCTGTTTGTATCTGTCATGACATTTTACCTTGTAAGGACCATGGAATCGGTTTGGACAGATATTAGCGATTGATTATCTGGTGTTGATGTTTTGAAATTCATGTCAGCCATAATGGATCCATTACACGTTCAACAATCAGGCAACTATTAAACAGAAAAGATGCAGAGATTGAAAAAGATGTAGTTTTCCTAATAACGTTCAGTCAAGCATAATAGTGATAAGTTGAAAGCAAATAACGTCCTAAGTATGCCTTTTAATTAATGGTTGTCTTGCAGATCCCACAGTACAGAACGGCATAATATGTAACTTTGGCAAGTATGGACAAAACTGCGACCGACCCTGTTCTGAAGACTGTGGCCTGTTCCCAAAGAGAAACCTTCGACCCTGTCACAAATACTCTGGCAAATGCTTACATGGATGTGTTCGTGGTCGTCATGGTGACAAGTGTGATCAACTTTGTAGCCACAACTGCATCAACACCACTTGCAACCAAGGCAACGGGGGATGTACCATCGGGTGTATAGATGGACACGTTGGATATTTCTGTAACATAACAACAGGTACACAGATACAGTTCTTTTCACAGACTGTAACAGATATTTAGTTGTATTGAATATGTTCATATGTACACTTATGAGAGTAATAGTGGGAATGAGTCCAATCTGTTACAAGTTTGCAGTTCAGTCTACATTTTGCCAGTATATACTCGCGAGTTAATCTCTATTTATCCCAGATATCAGGACATCTATATCATAAAGAACAAATATATTGCGTATTTTAAGACACCATGCTTTCAGTAAATCAAATATAAAGTTGTAGGTGAGGCATTTGAGACAACTGGTATCAAACATACATGTTTGTGTGAGATCGAATTCTAGGTCCGTTATTAGCGTCTCCCCCTTGGTGATACCCTTTGATTATATAATGACGGACTACTTTCTTGGTAGAATTTCATTGATACGTTTCTTGTGCTTGGTCGAATTCAGCTACGTCTGCATCGAAACTCCATTGTTTTAAAGAGTTAATGCATGTTTTCTGTCTTGTCTAGTTTGCATTATCACCGTCGCCTAATTGTAATTATTTGATTGAAAATAACGTCCTGAGTATGCCATTTAATTACTGCTTGTCTTTCAGATCCCATAGAAGAAAATGACATAATATGTGACACGGGCCAGTATGGACGAGACTGCGACCTTCCTTGTTCTGAAGACTGTGGCCTATTTCCAGAGACAAACCTTCGAGCTTGTCACAAAGATAATGGGACCTGTTTACATGGGTGTGTTCATGGTCGGCATGGTGACCACTGTGATCAACTTTGTAGCCCAAACTGCATCAAGACCACGTGCAATCAACGCAACGGGGGATGTACCATCGGGTGTATAGATGGACAAAGTGGATATTTCTGTAACACAACAACAGGTAGACAGTTACACTACACTACACAGACTATAGCAAATATTTAGTTGTATTGAATTTGCCTTGAATGTGCTACCATCAGAACAAACAAATACAGTAATATTTATGTTTATATGATTCAAATTTAGTTCTCAGTTAACACTACACTTAGACATCGAAGTTCTCAGTTCACACTACACTTAGACATCGAAGTTCTCAGTTAACACTAAACTTAGACATCGAAGTTCTCAGTTGACACTACATTTAGACATCAAAGTTCTCAAATAATACTACATTCAGACATCAAAGTTCTCAGTTCTCGTCTAGCTGCTACATGAAATAAAATGGATTGTCCTTACTGCTATGTGGATATCAAATGGCTATCTATCAATACTAATAACGCAAGTGAAGAAAATGAATTACGTAAAATTACTGAGGTGAACAAAATGTATTTATTGAGCGGTATTGACTTTCATACCTTCTTTTCGGAAATGACAGGATCTAGCACCAAGACAATTACGAATGAAAACAATGTTGTAGACTAGTTCTACCCTGCTCAGATGTGGCCGTCGACACAGCCCCTGATCAGTCCCAAACTTAAACCCGATTCACTATCATATGGTAAAAAAAAACCTCCAAGATTTTGAGAAACCAAGACACAGCAAATCTTAAATGAAAAACATCGAATTGATAAGCTCTGAAAATGTTCAATGGTAAGACAAATAAAATGAATCTAGCTTTAAAAAATAAGATATAAAATGTAAGGAAAGAAACTTAATTTAAAAAAGAAACAAAACAAACTTTCCGACCTGTTTTACCGATTAGTCATCGGGGACGAGAAAGTACCCGTAGACGGAATTACTATTCCGGTTTCCGAGTAGGCCGACCTTCTCCGTGCATTCTAGGCCGAGAAGCGGCGGCAAATGATAACGGGGAATAAAAATGAAGCTGGTCATGCAGTAGGTCCATCTCAGGTGACAAGAAACACAAGCCAAGTAAAGTATTACAGCACACGTGACAAATCACAAACTCCAAATATAACACACCCTGACACAAAACACACAAGTTCAAACGCACTCCGTTCAATCCCCACCAGTTCATTCCACATGGTCCGAATTGGTTTGCGATTATCCAAACACAAGCAACGCATTTATAAATCAGTGCTAGTGATTTGCTAGTGCCATGGGAGGTTTGATGACGACACATAAATGATTAATTTGTACAGAAGTAATAATATCTCGAATAATACATTTCCATATAGCCATATTTTGCCTCTTCCATATTAATGAGAAATTATTTTGTTTAATCCCTCAGAGTTATAATACTATTTGATTGGATTAAAGCCTTATGATTTATGAAATTGTATGACAGTAACGAGGTGCAATCATTACTTTATTTTACTGGTTTGGTATAAGACTAGTGGGGTATTTTATAAAATATTTCTGAACTGAAATTACTATTAAATTGAACGGTATGTTGAAGTACGTTTTTGATATGTGTAACAAAATCACAGTGAGTCAGTAAACCGTAATTCAACCATAACAGTGAGGAATACTTGATTCTGATTGGCCAAACTAGATTAACATGTATACTCAGGTGTCTAATTTCAATCGATACTTTACAATTAAGATGCCTTTTCACAACAAAAAACTTGCGTATGAAAATGTGAATCTATTACTCGATTCTACTAACAACTACTGCCAACAAAACCCCTCTAAAACTGCTTTCTCCTACATTGTTCTCACAAGCTGTGTCTGTGTTGCACCGATCCTGACTACAAGTCACCAGGGACCTATTCTAACCACGAATGAACGCGGGTGTTGTTAATGATATCCTACAGTTCGTGTTCCGGCATGTTCGTTTTAGCTCAAGTGAATACCCGTGTTTCTTAGTGATTTATACACTGTGATTGTCGTCGGTTGTTCATCCCCTGTTAAGACATTTCTCTTCGCAAACTAGTCCTATTCTGTTACTGTGTTACAGACGAGGGGCACTTTAGACAGACTGATAGTCATATTGTGTTGTGTTTGTTACAGGTGCGGGACACATTAGACAGACTAATTAGTTATATTGTGTTTGTTACATGCGAGGGTCATATTCGATGGGCTAATTAGTTATATTGTGTTTGTGTTTTACAGGGGAGGGTCACATTAGACAGTCTTAATAATCATATTATGTTTGCATGTTACTGCTGTTGGGCACGTTAGGCATATTAATAAATCATATTATGTTTGTTTGTTGCAGTTGAGGGAAACATTAGACACAGTATGCAGTGGATGTTGATGTTACCTGTTGCGATCTTTATCTTTTCGACAATTTGTTGCTGGAGGAAGTGAGTTTACTTTGTGTGGATCGGGTAGTCACCCCAAACTGCTTCATTTTGTTCAGCGTAACTTTGACTTATTTTCAAAGGATATAATGTTGTATTAGAATCTACAAGATTTCACTTCTAGGAACACACGAATGTGTTTCTATGTTTATTATATTTATGGTATAAGCATCCTTATCAGTTATAGCAATTGTATACAGTCGTTCATTAATAACAGCCTTAATTCAACACAAGTCATGGTTTTACTGGCAAATGTTAAATATATTTGTGTGGAGTCACCAGAAGGGGTTGGGTAATACGAGGAAATGTCAAGCAGGTGCCCTGTGTATTTATAACCACATCTCTTTGCAGTCCACGATTTAGAAGAAGGTTTGACAAAGGGTTTACGTGGCTGATAAGAAGGTAATGTTCATGAAGACTCAATCTTTAAAGCATGCGGTACTATCTTCTCTAAATGATTGTTGGTAGTGTTACTGAAGAGGTGGGTGAGTAAGTCTGATTTATAGTAATTCAGTTATATCACGGCGTGTCAGCTTGATGTGAAATGAAAGCCGGACGTGATGCAGGTCATAGACGTTTACTACTTTGTGAGACCCATGGACAAGGTTATGGTGCTGACAAACCTAGACACAAGACAGGGCGATATGGGATTATATGATCCTAGGTTTACCTCATGCCTGAGGGACACTATTCTGGCACACAAAAAGGCTGCAATTCTGCACAACAAACTGTAACGTCTACGACGACTGAACCAACCGTGTCCCCTTGTTACTGATAAACACATCATTACTTTATGTAAATATTGCAGTTTACTTACCTCCTCTTTTATTCTTTTTCAGGAATCCAAGGCCTTGTAAGTGACATTTTACTTTTTCATATTTTACTCGAAGCAAACTTTGACACACACAAAATACATGTATGCCCCTAATCTAATCTAATCTGGTGAACTGTTTTGGATGTGGACGTTCTGTTTCCCATTTTACGACTGCCTGTGATGATGCAACGGCAATGTCAGGTTTCTTGTCTGGGAATCTAGCAAAGGGAATTCATTATTTCTCATAATATTTAAGTTGGTATGTTCAATAATTTTCACTGCTATCTCTGACAGCCATGTTATCCACTATTCACTCAAGCTATCCTCTAGGACAGTCAGGTAAATTCAACACAACCAAACAACACACGGATTATGGGACTACAAGAGGCTGTTTCACCCTTCAGATAGGACTATGTTTGGAAGAACAATGTAAATTCTGCCAGTAACTATTCATCCATGGAAACTAATCATAGTTAGCCCTTTATCATAATATCTGATTTCATGGAGAAAGCGAGATGTCTTCAGCATTAGACTTTTTGCTTTGAATGAAACTATATGCCGTAGGTGCTACCTCACAGCCTTCAGGACATAAGACATTGTTATATTATACATTCATATACCGTATGGCAGACAAGGACATTTAGAAGATGGCATATGAATATGGTGTGAACATGCATCTCTCAATAAAATATGAACGTATTTTATTAAAATGTACTTAAAGGGGCACTGATTTAAAGCTATTCCCCGAGACTGGTTGTTGCCTTTATTATTGTTTTTCCCCCGTGAGTACCCGGATGATACGCAACGCAACTGAGCGTGAAAAGAGACTGGGCTACCGTCTGCAAGGACAGCAAAATAAACTTGGAGGCAATATTTGTTTTACCCATTTTTGAACACTGATTGGTTAACCGTGATCTATAAAGATTGCGACAAAGGGCGCATGTTAATTAATTTCTTCAGCCTTAACAAACAGACAAAAAGATAGGCGGAGCTCATCAGTTGTCGTCATTTGGAAATACCTCTGATTGTTATAGTTTAAAGTCGCCTTTTACGACAAGCATTGGTTGCTGAAAACCTAATCTACCCCAAATCTTCACGGGTTATATATATTTTTATTAATGTTTACACAATTGTGGAAAAAACTATTTCTTCTATATTTGTATTTTATCGGTTGATTGGCAGAACATAAGATGTCTAAAGATTGCATCAGGTGCGCGTTTATGGGCGCCGATCATTTGAGAATCATGGGTCGAGGTGGGTCATAGTTTTTTTGGGTATGCGTTGGTTGGTTGGGTAGCTGATAAAGTCTAACATTTTGTTATTTTGTTTGAAATTGTCTATACTGTGAATGAATACTAAAGGTAGTATATACTGTCAATTTTTTGTGGTACCAATTTCAACGTCTCTTGTAAATTGAGATAAAACCCAATTAAGTCTGGTTTCAACTGGCCATAGGACACTTTCATAAATTTTATAGCACATTCTTCTCTATTATTGCCAAATCTTCAGGACATGTTGGATGATAATCATTGAATGTCCGGGAAAAGAACCGATGTGGTTATCAATATCGATAGCTGTATGGGAACAAGTTAGGTACACATAAAAAACAATATACCAGAATGTATCCAATTGTCCTGAGCCATAGCAGATGCTCACCACGGACATGACGGATACGGAGTTACAATGGCTTACAGTTAAGCATTGCGGAGTTATGCCTCTTTTTCTTTACAAAGTTGACTTCTCCCTCTTGTTTTGACGTAATAGCAATAGAAACTTTATTTTCGCCACATAAAACAAGTATTTGTTTATGTCGAATGAGTCTGGTGCTTTCGCCATACTTCAAACCTTTTGTTGGATAGAGGCTTCAGCTACTCTCGTTGGATACAAGATTTATTAATAGAGGCGTACGCATGTCTGACGTCGACGATGCATGAATGTCAACTGACAACTACGTTAAAAAATCAGGGTTAGTTAGTTGTAATCAGACCACCTCCGTGGTCTAGTGGTAGAGCGTCCGCCCGGAGAGCGGAAGATCCAGGATTCAAGCCCCAGCCTCGTCATACCAAAAGATGTTAAAAGATGGTACTTGTTGTTATCCTCTCTGGCGCTCGGCATTTAGGGACTAAAACAAGGACTGGTCGGCTGGGAGTCAGTATACTGTGTCTGAGTGGGGTATTCATGTTAAACTGTGGCATGGTATCTCAGTGAGCTAGCACTATAAATCGGACTAATACAATCAGCCACACAAACACACACACGCACATGCACGTCGCTATATAAGTACAATAATCTTGGACCCCATTTAATTTATGTTGAATCATCATTTACGGTTATGACATGAGGTTAGGTAAAGCATATAGGGCAAATGAAACGTCTATAAAATATCAATACACAGTAACTTACATTTCAACAGTGTCACATTACACATAACCGTACACAACTTAATATCTGCCATAGTTGTTCCGATATAAGACAGTATATTTAGTTCGCTCACAGTTTAAATAAAACATTTCGTCGCACTGTACTTCATCTATGTACGATCAAATGTTGCCTCAGATTATAGAGTTTATTTCTTCAGCAAAACAGAAGCTTGGACCACATTTAGCACTTTTTGTTTAATTGTCTTTGTCTTTCATTGTTCACCATTGGGTTGAAATTTCAATTCCGTTAAATTGCAAAGTATTCTTAAGAGGACTAAGATTTTTCTTATGTCTAAACTTAAGCTTTTGAAATCTGACTTAGCTAAGTCTGAGACTTAAGTGGATATTCATAAAGATGCTAAGTCCGAAACTTAGCTAAGTCTCAAAAGAAAACCTAAGTCAGTTTCGTAGTACGTACCCGCGTGATCAGTAAGTGAATATCCCAGCTATTTTTAAACTTCCGGTGGAACTCTTTAAAAAAAAAAGGTGTGAACGTCTTTTTCGGTGGGATTTCCCGGTTGCTATTTACGGCAGACGACACACACAGCGAAACTTTGTCCACATTGCCAACGTCATGTCAGAGGCAGATATGAAGAAGAGGAAGCCTAACTGGACGAAAAAGGAGGTTTTACTGTTGACGGAACTAGTGAAAGCATGTACATGTGTTGGAAGCAAAGTTTGGTCCGGGCGTGACATCGGCGAGGCGTGGCAGGTACAGTGACACTTGTCGTTGTCTGTCTGTATACAAATGTAGTATTTACACCAGACATGAGTTTTATAAAGTTATATTTAAGCAGTGTACATCTACTTATTTAACTTATTCGAGATATATTAGTACGCCAATCAAGCGACTATAAATGCATGATTAAGGGACTTGCAATATATTGTCGGGTGGGGGTGGAGAGGGAGCCTGGTGGAGGAAATAATAAAAAAATTAAATCGATTAAATCGAACATTATTTAAATATTAGTATAACAAATTCAACACACCACTATAATAAATCACCTGTCCCTGTAGCCAACTTGCTGATTTTCAGTAACAATATTTTCACTAGTATTTACCACTGCATATAGATTTAATGCAACATTCTACCACTGAGCATGAAATCATCACTATTGGTGACTGGTCCTGTTATCAGTGGAATTAAAGTCACTTCTACTATAGCCATAACATATTCTATTAATATCATAAACTGGGACATTTGTTATTTCCAGGTTGACTTTTTTTTTAATGACAGTGCAGTGCAGTGAAATCTTGAAGTGATATCCAAAGTATTGTTGAATAGTATGTCTGGGAGATGGGTTCATGTTACCTTAGCTAGGCTAGCATCTATTTAAAAAGCTATAACTGAAAATACTAATATTTTGTATTTGCATTTTCCCTTGATCCTAATATGTATAACTTGCTGAAATTTTGTATAAATGTTACACCATGAATAACTTATAAAACCACTTGCTGTGCATCTAATTATTATTTGAAAACTTAGTATAAATGTATATTTTCTTAATAATAGCAACACCTCATTGGGGAAAAATTAAGTCAATTGCTATTTAAAAATTGTGATATGATTATTAATGTAAATGTTCTCATAAAAATAACACAAAACAACAGGCTTGTTGAAATTGAAAAGAACATTTATGTGAAAATTACAATTAAAACTTTAATATTTTCTGTTGCAGGGAGATTTATGACACGGCCATGTCAGATCCACATCCTCAACCAGAAGGAGCCAACATGTATACCGAGGAGCCAGATGTTACAGGGTCCCTCCCTTCACCAACCGTGGAAACTCTGTTGAAGCAAAAGTTAAAGCTTGAAATTGAATGCCTCACTTTGAAAAATGAATACCTTAAATTGAAATCATGAAACTGAACTAGCTTAGTATCATACATGTTGTTTTGGGATTAAAGAATCATTTATATATTTGAATATTAAATGTCACAATACATACCAAGCCCAATGTTATGATACAACAGATTCTGGTAGAAAGACTATTGTGGAACATTTAAAAAAAATAGTACCTTGCATTTAGAATATTGCATGAGGGATAATTAAGCTGATTAAAAACAAAAGATACTTTGCAGAGAATGTACTGCTGATACAAGTTGGATTTATTATGAGGAAATGTTGAAAATTAAAATAAAATAATCTTACATGGAAAGTTGGTATTGGCAAAGTGCTCCCGGTATCTGAGTGCAGCTACTGGTGGAGCAGTCACTGCTTGAGCCCATCCATTCTGTCCATTAAGCCTGCCAAGTCCATCATGCCCATCAGTGGGTGGAACTGGGATATGTCTGTCCTTGCAAATATTGTGTAGGACAGCACATGCTATTATCACCTAAAATATGTAATCATTAATGATAAATTAACATCATTACACATAACATTTAGGCATTTACCTGGCTTCAATTGAACATACAAATATGACTGTAAATAACGAATAAGTTCATACAACCCCATCATTTCCTGATCATCTCCACATGCACATTAACAATTCTATACTTCAAATATTTATGAATTTTCCCTTTTCTGCTCCTAGTCATTACCAATCTACAACTGCCCTGTTATTGCCTTAAAGACATAACTGTATATATATATTCACTTGATTTAGATACAAGTCAATCTGAACAAGTTCATGTCCATGTACAAACTTTAATAGATGATGAGCCACTGTATTGTTCTTTTCATATTCTCAATGACATTTGTTAACATAAATTCAAACAACCATGTTTGAAATAATTATGTAACTCGATAAAATCTTATTGCTTTTTTCAATCATTGCTTTCCTCCTTAGGAATCGTTATTTTATATATTTATTGTCATATAGCTTTGTTACATTTTTGTTCTGTTGAACTTATTTGTGTGGCAAATAAATAGTGCACACAAATTAACATTTGTTGATCATAATTTTTATCTTACAAGCCTTCTCAGGTTTTAAGCTGATTTCCCCATGGAGAACAGGAAATCTGCGTTTGAGTTGACCGATGGCCCTTTCTACTATGCTCCTTGTTCGTGTGACCTGAAAATAACATAACATATCAGAGTGTAACCTGTAACATTAATCTTCAACAGGGTTTAAGAAATATATGTTTATCTTTTTATTGATAAATGTCACTTGTTGAAGAAATAATTTTGATCATGTGAAAACAATAATTTACACTTTAGATTATTTAGGAAATTCATAGATCTACTGGTAATGTATAAAAAAATATATTCCTAATTGCAACAAATATTCAGCATGTTTACCAAAACAGCACATGATTACTTGTACATTTAGAACAACTAACATAGACATAATAATAGATGTTAAAATAAAAACATATGGTTTTGGTGTGAATAATATTCCGTATTTTATTAAGAATGTTTTTGTAATTGCTTCGATTATCCAGACCAAATATTGCGTTTGTGCTCTATGAAAGAAAGATGGGCAAATATGTAATCGATGTAAATACAAGGGACATCACTGTAAGTTGTTGATTACGATCGGCAACGTAACACGAAACTTTACATACCTGTTGTAGTTTGTTTGTGGTCCCGGCAATGGTCTTAGGAAGGGGTAAGCAGCCACTTCTTGCAGGGATAACCACTGTCACCGAGAAGGTGACATCCGATGGGGAGAACATTGTGAATCGTGTGTCGATCCCGGCCACCGAGCAACAACGTCAATGACTGTCGTCGCTGTCAAAAGCGATCTGCGTATTTATACTGTGATAGAGATGTCGGTTTACCTATTCAAATTCGTTTACTGTTGGTGCCTGGATTTGTACGTGGGTTCCATCGATCACCCCGACAACTCCGGGAAAGTTCGCAAAGTGATAAAAGTTTGTTTGGTGACGCCTTATGTCCCCGAGTTGCAGGGGGAAGCGGACAAACTGTTTCACAATCCTGTCAGATGACAAACTGGTGATACACTGATTTACAACTCTGGAAATGGTGGGCTGGGTGACACCTTGATCATCTGCATTACACAACTGAAACTTTCCCAATGCAAAGTACCTTAATGTGATCAGCGTCTTTTGTATCTCGTCAAGTGCGTGGTTTCGGTTGGTTGCAGGCTCCACGTCAGCTGCTATTAAATTAGCTACGTACCTAATGCCATTTCCATCTAAACGGTATCGCCGTATCAACTCCTCGTCGTTGTATTCAACAAGACTTTGTCTTCTTTGATGAAACGAACGACGACCTAGCGGTACGGCAGCCATTTTGTTTACTGACTTAAGTCAAACACCTAGTAGTTAGCCTACCCCTACCAAGTCTTAAGATTTAAGTCAGAAATTGGTAAAACTTAAGCTTGAGTCGCTTCATAAATATGACTTAAGTCAAATCTTAAAACTTAAGTAAGAAAAGGTGAAAAACTAAGTTTTTTTCAAGACTTAAGGTTTTTTTCAGACCTAAGTTCTTTTATAAATACCGCCCCAGAGAGGTTGGCCCAGTACCGCAATTCTCGCACAGCATTGACTTTTCAAAACTGTGGGCCTGAAAGTTAACTCGACAACCAGGATTCCAGCTGTCTGCAACTCACCTCCGTGTGAATGCCAAGTTGTATACAACTTCAGTTCTTACAACTAATTGTACAACAAGTTGTATAGATCGATTTAAATCTAGCGGTTGATCGGTACAAACAGTCGAGCGCCAAACTATGCCATGCTCTTGACACGTCACAGTGACGTCATAGCTCGCACCTTCACGGTCGTAGTGTCGCCGGTCAAGGCATTTCATGACCGGCAGCGAGATGTGTCACTCGTGTTAGGACGTAATCGGTGGGTAAGTTATCAGTTTCTACTTTTAGAATCATTAAATTTAGGAAATTAGATGAAACAGATATTATAAATATGGTAAGATTGATGTACAACAGAATAAATGTTGTAGGTATCAGGTGTTTACACCCAGACAGTTGTTTAGCCTGTCACTGGGTAGAAACAAACGTCTGGATGTAAACATTTAAACATGGCGCTTCAACCCCCAGGGGCCAGATGCATTAGCCTCGGCCTACTAATGTCTATGAAGCTACACCCAACACAATGTCTATACTGTAGGTCCTTTAGGCCTCGGACCCGTGAAGATCCGGGGTAGAATAGGTCTTCAGCAACCCATGCTTGCCGTAACAGGTGACTATGCTTGTCTTAAAAGGCGACTAACGGGATCGGGTGGTCAGGCTCGCTGACATGGTTGATGCATGTCATCGATCCCAATTGCGTGGATCGATGTGCATGACGTCAATCACTGGATTGTCTGGTCCTGACTCTATTATTTACAGATCGCCGTCATTTAGCTGGAATATTGCTGAGTGCGGCGTTAAACAACAAACCAACAACCTTTAGGCCTCGCCCAAGCCTAGCTCTCTGTTCGGCCCATTTCAGTCATAAAATCAGATCTTAGTTCTCGCTACCGCTAAGCTTTGTTTACCCTGTAGTGAGAACTAATAATGATATAATCAGAGCGGGAAATATTATGTGTAGCCAATGTTATAACCTGATCCAACATTTTTTAAAGAATGGCAAGGAAACATAGAAGAAAGTGCGATGCCAAAGAGTTAAATGCGAAATCAATATTGGCGCATATCACACGGGCAGTCGCAATTTCCCTCTTTGTCGCCATATAGATGACATCATGTAGATGTGGGCCGATCACCTCGTGTTTGTACCCTTGTACAGCCGAACATCGCATCGATTTTGCCTGACATTCTAACTGTCACTGTGTTGCACAAGCGCTGGGTCAAGTCACAGAGCTATGTAACTAATAATAATAACAAACAAACTCGCAAACTTCGGCCTCGTCTACAAATCTGTGAGAGTTTGTTTATTATTGTTATTAGTTACAAGTTCCTGTGGTCAAGTAGACCAGTTGCTCTTTAGATTGCATCATCTTTGCATTGTCATCACTGACATTTTAAACTGTTTCTGTTTCATGTCGTACGTCTGTGTTTACGCAGTAAAACAAATATTCTAGTTACACAACGCTCCGTTGTCAATATATTCATGTCTATTTTGAACAGAGTAACTGAATATTGAAATTCTGGCAAGGTTTACACAGTAATATCGTAACATGACAGAGGATCATATCACTTGTTTAGTCACACATATATCCTTGATGTTTTAGTATTATTGTATTCCCTTAAAAACAATGTATACCCTTGGAACAACAAATAACTTACAAACGTTCGTCGCAGCATTCTACATTTTGGTGATTAATACAGACGCTGAATGAACGAGCGTCAAACGTGTATTTACACCGGTCTAACACTGGAGGGTGCCTTATCATTCTGGCAAAAATATATAACAGTGTGCATTGATTCTCGCACACAACAAATATAATATTCTTATTAAAATACACATAATAACATAAACGGCAATGAAAATGAGAAATATGTATTTATGTATTACCCTCATGTGCAGACACTATGCTGCAACGGAGTAGGCCTAACGCATCAACTTCCGTTGGCCTTTTCCTTGTCCGAACAATTCCATCCACAATTAATTAATTCAAACTAAAATACTAATCAATCCCAAAATTGAAATTATGAGATGATGGCTGATGTGAAACCTCAGTGAGCGTCCCAATATAATGAATGCACATAATATTATCATGTTTATCATTATATTTTCGTTCTGATTTTGCTTTCAGTGTTGTAAAACAATGTTTAATTCTGTTGTAAGTTTATGTTTCAAAACAACATAATCTATTGCGCTACTCATCAAAGAGAAGCAATGAATCTCAGTAAGGTAATATGATTCAAAAGTGTTTAATGATTTGATGTAGATTTGCAGCATATAGACACACATGGGGTATATCTATAGGTAATCAACAATCTAGGCGTCTGTTGTATGAGGGATTTATCCAGGATTCTCAGTTAAGACAAATTTGGAACAAATCGTAATTTTCTTAAACTCAGAGTTTTTGTAGCGTTGTACTTAACGTATTTAGGACTGTAAAATCAGTGTAATAATCTAAAACTGAGGATGAAACCTCTTCCTATATATCCTGTTATACGTGAAATATAGGTTACCTCTACAAAGCTATACAATTAGACGAATTAGTGATATATATATATATATATATATATACACACACACACACACACACAAAGCGTTATGTTGTTCAAAATTGGGAATTTTGAAAGTTTTTAGTTTCTTGAAATCAGAGTTTTTTTGTAACGTTGTAGTTTACGATTGTAGAATCAGTGTAATAATATAAAACTAAGCATTAAAACGCTTCCTATTTATTGGTCTTTTTATCAGTGAAGTACAGGCTGCCCCTACAAAGCCATACAATTAGTGACAATGGATGACAAGAAGTTGTCCGAGGTATTAATAATGCTTATCATATGCTATATATAGTTTTCTGACCAGCATATTCTGTTTCAGCCTCAAGTGATCCGAGTCAGGATCTGAGCCAGGGCGAGAGAATGCCACTGGTCAAAGTGACGACACAAGATTCTGATCACCACGGTAGGTGGGGGAACCCAGTATGTGGCAGACAGTGTCGTTGTCCAACTTTGTATGATATTTGGTCAGATCATCATATCAGCTGGAAAGCTCAGATTACACTCTGCAACTTTCCTGTAAACAGTCTCTACAATTACCAAGTTGATAAATAAATACCCTTATTATCCTATTGATTTCAAACATGTCCACAAATACGCTAGTAGTTCCACCATAAAGTTTAATCCAACAAGCACGTGTATAGAGAAACGGTGTAGATGAACTACAATCTATGTTTCTATGTTTGTGTTATATATTTATCAGTCATGTATTCTAGTTGACAATCACTAAACTGCTTTATACTTCTACTATAACAAAGGTATTCTAACCTAGTAAACCTTTCAAAAGGCTTCAAACTGGTGGAATGGCAATGACTGGTCTGTGGCCAATATTTATAATGCTTATGTGCTAGACCTCTATATATAGTTTTCTAAACAACATATTCTGTGTTTCAGCCTCGAGTGTCCCGAGCCGGCGCAGGAGGGATTCATGGCTCTCCACCGCTTCACACGGTAGGTGGGAGAACCCAGCAGGCAGAAAGCTCACTCCTAACCCTTCATACATACAGTGTATTCAATGAACAAGCTTATGCAAAGCAATGTAAAAATAAATATCATATTATCTTAATAATCTGAGACAGCAATTGTACTGACAGTGTCTGTCTATTATCTTATAAAGCAAACAAACGTTAAAGCTCCACCCTGACTATAAATAGCCCGCAAGGTGGCGGTGTTTCAGTTTCGAACAATGACTGACAATGTAAACACAACCGAGTGTCGGGAGACGTTTTTTGAAAACCATACGGGAACAAGATCACCATTGACCGTCAAACTTCGTATCAACTTGTATGACAAACCATGGATACAACAAATGGCTCCATATCAAGATATAAGTCAATAGATTTTCTGTAGTTTTATCATAAAAAATCGAATCGATCGTGTTTGGCGTCAGCATCAATCACAGTGGGCGGAGCTTATTTACGGTTGCGCTATAACTAGCAAAGCACATGGTCATGTGTACATGTGACACATTCAATGCATTTGTGGTCAAAGTGAATTGTGTTGCATATTTATACAGCAGAACAGCAGCAGAACATCAGTTTCAGTTAATGTAACAGTAACGATATTTAAATACGAAATTGACGACGCGATTCTTTCAGTTCAATCCGAAAATTACAAATATTTGTTTAGTTTTGGTCATTTGCATTCAACAGTTAGATTTGTGTCACACAATAATCAGTGTATATTCATAAAACTTAAATTATTACACATATTGTTCAACTAGTGTTTCGGAAGGGGCCTAATTTGAAGCACCAGAAGTTGCGCCAATATTTCTCAGCTTGACTACAATAGATGAATATGTCAAGTGTATCAACATAACAATGCACATAAGCAACTGGTAAATAAGTAAGGAAATATACTTGATGTTTTGACCTACAGAAGGCGTATCCAGATAATACTGTACTTACAATAAACGAAAACTCCAATACACATATTCCAAGACAACTTTAATTATGAATTTCCTTTTCTTTCACAGAATTTTCACACACAAAACTGAGTTTGATTATTAGATCCACACTTGTCCCATATATTTTTTGTTCGGGGTATTTGGATAAACTTCACACACAAGTTTCAACATACAATCTGGGATCCCTTTTCCGTTTTGTCCACACAAATCTGCTGTTACCGCAACATTTAATTCCGTTTCTTCAAGTCCAAGTATATAGATCTCTCCAAACACTTCGTTTATTTAGCTCAGTCCAGAAGCAATGTGTTCATATCGACGAATATTGGAACTTTCTCCACGATAAAGTCATTAATGTCATAATCGAAATGACCAAAGGTTCCCTGATTATCTCGACCAACTCTTTGTCAAATTAGTCTTCACATGAAAATGTTTTGTTGCTCATATTGAAGACAAGCGAAATTGCAGTTGAAATTCATATAGTCGTCAATTTCGTATTTAAGTACCGTTACTGTTACATGAACCGAAACCGATGTTCCGCTGCAGTTCTGCCGTAAAAATATACAACACCATGCACTTTGACCACAAATACCTTGAATGTGTCACATGTACACCTGACCATGTGCTTTGCTATTTATAGCGCAACCGTAAATTAGCACGGTTACTGTGATTGATGCAGACGCCAAACACGATCGATTCGATTTTTTATGATAAAACTACAGAAAATCTATTGACTTATATCTAGATATGGAGCCATTTGTTGTATCCATGGTTTGTCATTCAAGTTGATACAAAGTTTGACGGTCAATGGTGATCTTGTTCCCGTATGGTTTTAAAAAAGCTTCTCCCAACACTCGGTTGTGTTTACATTGTCAGTCATTGTTCGAAATTGAAACACCGCCACCTTGCGGGCTATTTATACTCAGGGTGGGGCTTTAAACAAATGTCACGTGAATAGATTATTCTTAGTTCAATACATAAACCACTCCCCTCATCGTTATATTGTTGTCATCCACACAGGAAGTGGTTCACCATGTATCGATGTTCCTGTCACGTATCAACACTTCGAGGTGTGAACACAGTAGATGTATGACAAAGATGTCTGGATGTGTACAGATTTGACGTTGTGTTACAGCGACTCCATCACAAGCAGACCGCGACCTCTACTACGCCAGCGAGGCCGGGGACCAGGAGGAGGTGAAGCGGATCCTGTCTACACCGGGAGTCAACGTCAACTGTAGAGTGGGAGGGTGGCGCAGGACATCAGTGATGAAGGCAGCAGAGGAGGGACACAGAGACGTGGTGGAGCTCCTGGTGAGTAAAGGAGCTGATGTGTCACTGGTGGACGAGTACGGTAACAACACCCTTCATCACGCCTGTATAGGAGGAGATATGGAGACGGTGAAGTTTGTGCTGTCTCTGAACGTGGTTGACATCAACAGTAGAGGATGGGGGAGCAGGACACCGGTGATGAGGGCAGCACTGTATAGACACAGAAAGGTGGTGGAGCTCCTGGTGAGTAAAGGAGCTGATGTGTCACTGGTGGACGTGGTCGGTAACAACACCCTTCACTGGGCCTGTAGGGGAGGAGATATGGAGATGGTGAAGTTTGTGCTGTCTCTGAACGTGGTGGACATCAACAGTAGAGGAGTGGGGAACAGGACACCAGTGATGAGGGCTGCAGAGGAGGGACACAGAGAAGTGGTGGAGCTCCTGGTGAGTAAAGGGGCCGATGTGTCACTGGTGGACGAGGATGGTGACAACATCCTTCACCTCGCCTGTTGGGGAGGAGATGTTGATACGGTGGAGTTTGTGCTGTCTCTGAACCTGGTTGACATCAACAGTAGAGGAGGGGGGAGCAGGACACCGGTGATGAGGGCAGCAGAGAGGGGACACAGAGACCTGGTGGAGCTCCTGGTGAGTAAAGGGGGCGATGTGTTACTGGTGGACGTGGTCGGTGACAACATTCTTCACTGGGCCTGTTGGGGAGGAGAAATGGAGACGGTGGTGTTTGTGCTGTCTCAGAGCGTGGTGGACGTCGACGCCAGGAACAACTCGGGGCGGACAGCTGCGGACTGGGCGAGACTCGGGGGACATCAGCGAGTGGCGGATCTCCTGGTGTCCCGCGGCGCTCAGTGACGTCAGTGTCGTGTTTGTGTAGACGGCGGATGGGGACATGTTGTTACTGACAGTGACGTGGTGTGCCGTGCACGTCGTCGTGTTATATATTCCTGGATTAGGTGAGAATGATTGTTGTGTTTGAGGAGAAGTAAAACTTGATAAAAATATTTTGAGACATTTTGTCATTTGTTGTGTTTGGAACTTTTAAAAATTGTCAACTGAGTGTAAATAAAGATAATGTGTGATTATTATGTGAAACCTGCATCTCGTAATACAATTAGTCTGTGTTAATTGTGTGTCACAAGTTATAATTAGTCGTGGAACACACAACAAACTGTTTGTTTACATCTCGCTGCACTCTCTGACCTCAGACTGAGCCGAGGTTCGCCCAGCTGACGTGGCGCCAAATGTACAATGAAGGTGACGTCACACTGTCCATGACGTCACGGCATTGCGGTCAAGGCCTTGCACCAAAGTGACCGGCTGTTTTCTCTGCCAAAACAGGGCGGCACACAGGACATAACCATACAACATATGCCTGCACTGTGTGGTAGCTATAGTTTAACAAAGGCAGACATATAGATTTATTTTCTGTGGAGTTACTTTTAATATGTACAAATTATTGCTGCTTGGATTAAAAATTTACAAGCGGCAAAGCCTTTTCTATATTCATAAGAAATCTCTGTCAAAAACAGTCGATTGTACGAATCCGGCTATTATCATGATCATGTGTTTATCTCTCATGGTGCCTGGCCGTCAGTCGCGGTTTCAAAAACGTATACATTGTATAAAAAGTGTTCTTATATATTCCCACAGTGTAACCAAATGGTATAACTTTCAACAAGCGTTGATTGTCGTCAAAACGGTATCCAAATTCAACAAATCCCAAAGGTATATGCACTGCCTAGCCATCAATGAAAAATGCTATTTTTGTTACATGAACTGTCATATTGAAGCAGCCGAATGTGGCAAGTCAATTCTAGCAAGCGCCCTTGTTTGAAATCTGGATCTCCAATAATTCCTTCCATTGTAATAAGTATATATACTAACAATGATAGCCATATGACATTTGATAATTGTCTGTGAGTTTAATTTACCGACAACAAATCTCGTTGAAATTGACAGCTTATTTATATTTCGGGTGTTACTATACGTTGTTAATGGTTTAAACCTAATATACTGGTTACCGTATATTTCATACAAGGAAACTATGACCTTCGCAGGTGAAGGATTAACTTATTGTTGGTAAAAAACATTTCCTTTCATGATATTTTTTTTAATAATTGCGACTTTAGAACTGTATTTACACCTTGATATATACATGCACATTAAAGTAAAGTTTGAAATAAATAATGATCATAGATCAAAGACACAAATGGAATTATTCGTCATAAGAGGGGAAATGAAACTGAATGACGGAAGTAAAACTAGCAGTCGTTTATACAAATGGTTTTCAGCAATTATACTGATGGACATGGAGAAGGGAACACTTTGTTTTAGACACAGTCACGTGATATGCTATCATGGGTTTCCCTGCCTTGTCTAAGTGTTGGAAACAATGCACACAAATACATGTCAACGTTTGATTCTGACGTGTTGAATTTGTATGCGCCCTTATCCAAATGTACTGACAGCAAAGATTATTTCCCTTCATTTTTTCAATGTTCCCTTATTCGCTTCCATCAATATATATTTTACCCTTTTCTTTTCGAGGGAATATGATTTAAACGTGTGAATAAAAAACCCGAATCTAAATAAACGCAATAATGCATTCATCTTTCTCCCAGATAAGATTTTTTTAACAAATACAATTATTATTAAGGATACAAAATAAGAAATCAGCGTTATCAATATCCTACCATGGGCACATACGTATTTTGTTTGTATGTTCACTAATGACCAATAAAGAAGTTAATATTAGCTATGGAAATAACACAGTGAAGAAAAGATAGGCGCTAGGGTTGGTTTCTGTCATCAGAAAAAAATATTTAATGTGAAACTAATACACACAAAAGGCCACTCCTCTCGGGAAAAGCACCAATTTACGAACTCAGTCTTCACAAGAATCTCATAGATAGACATGCAAACTTTCATCTATGTAACTTCGGTAGTTTCTCAGAAACGGTGTCCCCATTTCACGCAGTATGCACGCAGTATGAACGCAGTGTGCACGCAGTATGCACGCAGTATCCACTAAGTTGAAACGCACGGGCTGGAAGTCTGTACATAAATTATTCAGGACACCAATTTTGGAACTCATTTGAGATCATGACCAGTAACATCAGTATGAAAAGTTTCATTTCTCTGGGCAGACGGACGAAAGAGCGAACTTCGTTCCTATATCCTCGGCCCCAATCGGTGGTTCGTTTGTTGTTTAAGGTCGAACTCAGTAATATTCCAGCTATAAGACGGCTGTCTGTAAAGAATAAAGTCTGGGACAGACAATATAGTGAGTGATATGATGAGCATCGATCCACGCAATTGGGATACGATGACATTCATCAACCAAGTCAGCGAGCCTGAAAATTCAGTTTGTTCTCGTTATTTCGATTATATTTTCGTAATTTCAATTATTTTCTCGTTATTTCGATTATTTTCTATTTGCTTCGATGTTGTTTCTCGTAATTTCGACTTTATTGTCGTTATTTCTATAAGTACAATATTAGTGTATTTGTTAGTAGAGTTGAAAAACCTTAAGTATTTTGAAAGTGTGTGCTAGAGTTAAGTGTGTGAAGCGTATTAGTTAGTCGAAGGGTGAAGTGAATGGGTGTGGGTACATAAGTTGTGAAGTTATTATCAGTGTAATTCTTTATGTATTAAATTTATTCTTAATCCATATTTTGGTTGTGTTATTACTCCGTGTTGTGACGTGTAACTATTTACTCAGGTATATTCATCTTTAACTTCATGTACAACACAACGATATATAATTATTGATGTACTTGCACGAAAAATTGTTTGATAGGCATAACTCAGAAGTTGACGGATGGACAAAATTTTATGGATAACAACTTCTTTAATACTGTAAAAAGCGACGTTTCGGTATAGATCCTTATACCGTTGTCATGTTACTTGCACGATTTTGAAACGTCGCACTAGACAGACAGACAGACAGACAGACATATATATTATTTATGTCTCACCTTGGGCATACATACAATATAAAAGTATACAGCAATACCATCATGTTCTGGCTACTACCACTGTATGACGACAATGGCTACTAAGAAGAAGAAGGGGGACAAGTACGAGGATGTTCTCAATGGCGAGTATTTCCGTCGTGCAATGGCAACTGGAGCAGCAGTTAGTTCTACTGTGGGATGATGAAAGCGAGTGCCTTGTACAAAGCTTCCCATGACTGCATACATGACAAGTTAAAATGCGTCGTGGACACATTTCTGCCACCGGGGTATGGCATCTGTATCCCCAGCATGGAACTATTCATGGAAAAGTAAACCCCAACACCTGAAGCAGCAGCACTCACAGCATCCATACTCAAAGCATGCAGCACCACATATCGCAACAGTCACCACAGTGGTAGCAGAGGTAACATTATAAGGAACAAACATTTTCACTTTACGACTCATCGCAGCATCAGCAGCGGCAGTAGCAGCACCCATACTAACAACACCCTCAGAAGGAGTGAAAGCAGCACAACAACTCGACTCAGCACTATGGACAGCGATACTAGCAGCCGCGGCAGCAACGCCTGCAGCAATAGAAGCAGCAGAAGCAGCACTCATTGAAACAGTAACCTCACATGCACCATTGCTGCATCAGAACTCGTCGCAGACAACACCAACAACAACGCCCGTAGCAGCAGCAGCAGCAGCACCAGAACTCATCTCACCACTATACAGGGCGGCATCAGCAGCAGCATCAGCAGCGGCAGTAGCAGCACCCATACTAACAACACCCTCAGAAGGAGTGAAAGCAGCACAACAACTCGACTCAGCACTATGGACAGCGATACTAGCAGCTGCAGCAGCAACGCCCTCAGCAACAGAAGCAGCAGCAACAGCAGCACTCGTTGCAACATTGAGCAGGCTACCTGTGTGATGATGATGATGAAGGTTGTCATCCACTTTTTCGCATTGTCTGCATTGTTCGCATTGTTTCGCATTGTTTCGCATTGTTTGCCCTGTATCTAAGTTAAAGTTTGCTAGGTGTCATCATTAAACAGGGATATATGAACTGACTCTTTGTGTATTGATTGATCTCAACTCCAATAGGATGCCGAACCGAGGGTAGAACCGTTGTCTATCTATTGCCAGGTCGACCACGTGTTACGTCACATGCAGAGGATCGTTAGATTGTCCTACGTCACCTCCCTCCGTAACCGATTTTTGATGGCTACATCAGAAATGAACTGTTTAGGGGTAGACTAAGTGCGCAAACCGTCTGAGAACTGCTCACCTTCAAGCACGATGGCCATACTGCGGGCCGATTCTGATTCAATTACACAGACGTCAACGTCAATTGTGGACACAGCGACACTTACGATGGACTCAGAGAAATTGGAATCAAGTCGTCTTCAGTGATGAATCCCGATTTAATCTTCGATTTGCCGATGATAGGGCTAGGGTGTCGAGGCGCCGTAATGAACGTTACGGCCAGTGTTGTGTACAGGAAGTTGACAGATTTCGAGGCGGAAGTGTCATGGTGTGGGAGGCTTTCTGTGGCAATGCACGTTCCAGGCTTCTTGTCATCCATGGCAACCTCAACGCTGCTGCTTACCGCAACCAGGTTCTGGCACCAGAACTTCTGCCTTTTATGGCAGCACATGGATCCGGTTTGATCTTCCAACACGACAATGCCAGCCCCCTCACAGCAATTTTGACAAGGAATTTACTTCAGAATGCGGGAGTCAACGTCATGGACTGGACGTCAAGGTCTCTCGACCTCAATCCCATCGAACGCGTCTAGGATGCTCTTGGCAGAAGTCTGCCAACTCTCTAGAACCAACCACAATATTAAGGCAGAAATTCATATCAATTTCACCAAAGAAAACGTTTTACTGGGCTTTCCATTTAAAGGAAATGATCCATTAAATGCTATATGCCTTGTCATTAAGGATATTATATTCAAATTTTATCTTAAAAAGAAAAAATATGTCTTTCGAGTTGATCCAGAGAGAGTTGGCATATTGCTACTTTACAACTTAAGCGAAAGCTAACTCTAACTGTAACTACAAGTTTGTGAAGTTTTGGTCCAGTTGCCACAAACTATTTTTGTAACCATATCACCTCAAATACTGAATTATCCGAGTTCATTTGCTCCCATGATGTATGATGCATGATTCCGTTGTTGTTTTAAGATTCCCTGTATGAACATTAATATGTATGAAATGCTGTACGACAAAAAAAGTGAATTAATAAAAAAAGGTGGTATATGTTAAATCAGTACTTTTTGGAAATGCTGACTTACCAGTGCCCGTTCAATTGTATAATTTGTCCTCAGCATCATTGTTGTATTCGGACGATTTACAACTTCACCACTAGATAATTCTATGTACTTTATCGGATAAAGGTGTCTGCAAAACTTTAAAAAAATCCCCCCCCCCAAAAAAAAACAAAAAAAAACTCGCTGACTGACTATGTACAAGTTCAGTTATATTGCACAAAGTACGGGGTCAGAATATGTACACACCTTACAAATACAGAATATCTTAACTGATCACAACCCTTGTGGGCGAACATCAACAAATGACATTACATGTTAGTTTTACAAACAAATGGACATTACAATCACATCTTGTGATGGATCAAGAAAATCGAGAACACATTGATCATGAAACAAGCACAATGATTGTACTGGATTACCCTGTCACTGACAAAGGCAAAGTGACAGCGCCAAAGTCAACGTGACAGACAGCGCCAAAGTCAACGTGACAGACAGCGCCAAAGCCAATGTGACAGACAGCGCCAGAGCCAACGTGACAGTCAAAGCCAATGTCAACGTGACAGGCAGCGCCAAAGTCAACGTGACAGACAGCGCCAAAGCCAACGTGACAGACAGCGCCAGTGCCAACGTGGCAGGCAGCGCCAATGTCAACGTGACAGACAGCGCCAATGTCAACGTGACAGTCAAAGCCAGAATCAGAGTGGCAGTCAATGTCAAAGACAACGTGACGGAAGAGGAAATATGAATCATATAAACGTTAACAATATATTTTGGTTACTTTTGACATAAAACAGGCATTTCCCAAATATCATACGCAATATACATACCGGCATTAAACTGAAGCCGAAACGTCACAAAGTACAAGTGTCGGCCACAAAACGTATATACCACCCCGACTCCTTCGCCCATTAAGATGACATCACAGATACGTGTGCAGTCGGCAGGAGTAGGTAACTTTAACCAACACACGAAATACATCAGCAAAGCCTATGATCGTATCTGTTCGTGTAAAAGTGAAATGTCTTTTTATGTAGGTTTTACAAACTAACTATGGTTCAAACAATGTCGTTAATATCTCCTGGATTGCGCCCTGCAAGTATCATGGCGACCTTTCGTTCCATTCATCTCATTCCTTTAATATTTTCCTCCATGCCAGACCCAAGACCATAAATAGCATAACACTCCTGAGTGATTCTACCAGACAGTTTATGAGCGGGATTCACAAGGTAAACATTGTCCAACTAATCCACAGTGATTTGCATAAATTACAAGTCATACCGAACGTGTTGGAAAACCTTAGACTGGCGGACATGTCCTGCATGGTATTATTTCCTGGCGCAACGTCCGCCAATATGGTGAGGTGAGGTGAGGTGTGGTGAGGTGAGGTGAGGTGAGGTGAGGTGAGGTGTGGTGAGGTGAGGTGATTTGAAGTGAGGTGAGGTGAGGTGATTTTGAGTTGGGGTGAGTTGAGTTGAGGTGAGGTGATTTAAGGTGTGGTGATTTGAGGTGAGGTGAGATGAGTTCAGGTAAGGTGAGGTGGGGTGAGGTTGGGTAAGGTGAGGTTTTACGTCCCATCATAGTCAAAATAGGGAACTGCAGACATCGTTCTAGTAATTGATGCGTCAAATTTGGGATGCCCTCCACATGTCAAATTTATCGCTGTTACATAGGTTGGGTGAGTGAGGAAATGCAGTTTAGATGAGTGAGTAAATGTAGTTTTGATGAGTGAGTAAATGCAGGTTTGATGAGTGAGTGAATATAGTTCAAATGGGTGAGTAAATGTAGTTTTAATGAGCGAGTGAATATTATTTAGATGAGTGAGTAAATTTAGTTTTGATGAGTGAGTGACTATAGTTTAGATTAGTGAGTAAATGAAGTTCAGATGAGTGAGTGAAAGCAGGTTTGATGAGTGAGTGAATATAGTTCAGATGAGTGAGTGAATATAGTTCAGATGAGTAAGTACATGTAGTTTTGATGAGTGAGTGAATATAGTTCAGATGAGTGAGTTAGTGTGGTGTTGATGAGTGAGTAAATTTAGTTTTGATGAGTGAGTGACTATAGTTTAGATTAGTGAGTAAATGAAGTTCAGATGAGTGAGTGAATGCAGGTTTGATGAGTGAGTGAATATAGTTCAGATGAGTGAGTGAATATAGTTCAGATGAGTAAGTACATGTAGTTTTGATGAGTGAGTGAATATAGTTCAGATGAGTGAGTTAGTGTGGTGTTGATGAGTGAGTGAATTTAGTTCAGATAAGTGGGTAAATGTAGTTTGATGAGTGAGTGAATATATTTCAGATGAGTGAGTAAATATATTTCATATGAGTGAGTAAATGTAGTTTGATGAGTGAATGAATATATTTCAGGTGACTGAGTAAATGTTATTTAGATGAGTGAGTGAATATAGTTCAGGTGACTGGGTAAATGTAGTTTAGATGAGAGAGTAAATATAGTTTAGATGAGTGAGCAAATGTAGTTTTGATGAGTGATTGAATAAAGTTCAGATGAGTGAGCAAATGTAGTTTTGATGAGTGAGTGCATATAGTTCAGATGAGTGAGTTAATGAAGGTTAGATGATTGATTGAATAAAGTTCATATGAGTGAGTACATGCAGTTTTGTTGAGTGAGTGAATATAGTTCAGATGAGTGAGTGGATAGTTTAGATAAGTAAGAGAATATAGCTTAGATGAGTGTGTGAATGTCCTTCCGATGAGTGAGTGACTACAGTTTAGATGAGTAAGTAAATATAGTTTCGATGAGTGAGTGAATATTGTTCAGATTAGTGAGTAAATGTAGTTTTGATGAGCGAGTGAATATAGTTCAGATGAGTGAGTGAATATAATTCAGATGAGTGAGTAAATGTAGTTTTTATGAGCGAGTAAATATAGTTCAGATGAGTGAGTAAATATATTTCAGATGAGTGAGTAAATGTAGTGTTCATGAGTGAGTGAATTTAGTTCAGATGAGTGAGTTATTGTGGTGTTGATGAGTTAGTGAATATAGTTCAGATGAGTAAGTAAATGTAGTTTGATGAGTGACTGAATGCAGTTCAGATGAATGAGTGAATGCAGGTTTGATGAGTAAGTGAATATATGTCCGATGAGTGAGTAAATGTAGTTTTGATGAGTGAGTGAATATAGTTCAGCTGAGTGAGTTATTGTGGTGTTGATGAGTGAGTGAATATAGTTCAGATGAGTGAGTAAATGTAATTTGATGAGTGAGTGAATATATTTCAGATGAGTGAGTAAATGTAGTTTAAATGAGTGAGTGAATATTGTTCAGGTGACTGAGTAAATGTAGTTGATGAGTGAGTGAATATACCTTAGATGAGTGAGTTAGTGTAGTTTTGATGAGTGAGTGAATATATTTCAGATGAGTGAGTAAATATAGTTCAGATGAGCGACTGACTATAGCTTAGATGGGTCAGTCAATGTAGTTTTGATGATTGAGTGAATATATTTATGATAAGTGAGTGAATATATTTGAGATGAGTGAGTAAATGTAGTTTTGATGAGTGAGTAAATGCAGTTTTGATAAGTGATTGAATATAGTTCATATAAGTGAGTAAATGTAGTTTTGATGATTGAGTGAATATATTTTTGATAAGTGAGTGAATATAGTTCAGATGAGTGAGTTAATGTAGTTTTGATGATTGAGTGAATATATTTATGATGAGTGAGTGAATATATTTGAGATGAGTGAGTAAATGTAGTTTTGATCAGTGAGTAAATGTAGTTTTGATGAGTGATTGAATATAGTTCATATGAGTGAGTAAATGTAGTTTTGATGATTGAGTGAATATATTTTTGATAAGTGAGTGAATATAGTTCAGATGAGTGAGTTAATGTAGTTTTGATGATTGAGTTAATTTATTTTTGATGAGTGAGTGAATATATTCATGAATGTAGTTTTGATGATTGATTGAATAAAGTTTAGATGAGTGAGTACATGCAGTTTTGTTGAGAGAGTGAATATAGTTCAGGTGAGTGAGTGGATAGTTTAAATAAGTAAGAGAATATAGTTTAGATAAGTTTGTAAATGTACTTCAGATAAGTGAGTGAATACAGTTTAGATGAGTAAGTGAACTTAGTTTCGATGAGTGAGTGAATATTGTTCAGATGAGTAAGTGAATATAGTTTCGATGAGTGAGTAAATATATTTCAGATGACTGAGTAACTGTAGTCTAGATGAGTGAGTAAATGTAGTTTAATGAGTAAGTGAATATATTTCAGATGAGTGAGTAAATGTAGTTGATGAATGAGTTAAGATATTTCAGATGACAAAGTAAATGTAGTTTAGATGAGTGAATATAGTTCAGATGAGTGAGTAAATGTAGTTTAATGAGTGAGTGAATATATTTCTGATGAGTGAGTAAATGTAGTTTGATGAATGAGTTAAGATATTTCAGATGACTTAGACGGGTGATTGAATATATTTGAGATGAGTGAGTACATGTAGTTGTGATGAGTGAGTAAATGTAGTTTTGATGATTGAGTGAATATATTTTTGATAAGTGAGTGAATATAGTTCAGATGAGTGAGTTAATGTAGTTTTGATGATTGAGTGAATTTATTTTTGATGAGTGAGTGAATATATTCATGAATGTAGTTTTGATGATTGATTGAATAAAGTTTAGATGAGTGAGTACATGCAGTTTTGTTGAGAGAGTGAATATAGTTCAGATGAGTGAGTGGATAGTTTAGATAAGTAAGAGAATATAGTTTAGATAAGTTTGTAAATGTACTTCAGATAAATGAGTGAATACAGTTTAGATGAGTAAGTGAATTTAGTTTCGATGAGTGAGTGAATATTGTTCAGATGAGTAAGTGAATATAGTTTCGATGAGTGAGTAAATATATTTCAGATGACTGAGTAACTGTAGTTTAGATGAGTGAGTAAATGTAGTTTAATGAGTAAGTGAATATATTTCAGATGAGTGAGTAAATGTAGTTGATGAATGAGTTAAGATATTTCAGATGACAAAGTAAATGTAGTTTAGATGAGTGAATATAGTTCAGATGAGTGAGTAAATGTAGTTTAATGAGTGAGTGAATATATTTCTGATGAGTGAGTAAATGTAGTTTGATGAATGAGTTAAGATATTTCAGATGACTTAGACGGGTGAGTAAATATATTTGAGATGAGTGAGTAAATGTAGTTTGAGCATCTGTTAAGATATTTCAGATTACTGAGTAAATGTGGTTTAGATGAGTGAGTAAATATATTTCAGATGAATGAGTAAATGTATTTTGATGAATGAGTTAAGATATTTCAGATGACTGAGTACATGTGGTTTAGATGAGTGAGTAAATATATTTCATATGAGTGAGTTAATGTGGTTTGATGAATGAGTTAAGATATTTCAGATGACTGAGTAAATGTAGTTTAGATGAGTGAGTAAATGTAGTTTAATGAGTGAGTGAATATAGTTCAGATGACTGAGTAAATGTAGTTTAGATGGGTGAGTAAATATATTTCAGATGAGTGAGTAAATGTAGTTTGATGAATGAGTGAATATATTTCAGATGACTGAGTAAATGTGGTTTAGATGAGTGAGTAAATATATTTCAGATGAGTGAGTAAATGTAGTTTGATGAGTGAGTTAAGATATTTCAGATGACTGAGTACATGTGGTTTAGATGAGTGAGTAAATATATTTCAGATGAGTGAGTAAATGTAGTTTGATCAATGAGTTAAGATATTTCAGATTAGTGAGTAAATGTGGTTTAGACGTATGAGTAAATATAT